TTAAACAACGAAGCAGTCTGTATAAATATATATATAGATAGTTTTATAAAATGTAAGTGTTTGGTTAGATTGCTTTTACCATTACCTCTATATAATACCAGTTCAGTTATATTATTAATCAATAATAGCTATGGTTGATAGATCGTCAGTAATAAAGTAGGAAAGTCATAAACATAAACGCACTCACCATTATAGTACAGCCCTCCATGATGAAAAATTACTAACAAACGAAGAATAAAGAAACCACAATCCGGGATATCTTCAAGCACGTACAAAAAGACCACAAATACTTTAACAAGATAGTTTTAAATTGATACCAAAAGTCCAAGGCACAAGAAAGAACAAGTATCTTAGTGGAGAAAAATATTTCTTTTTTACCCGAACAGTGAAGTAATAATGAGGATATATATATATTTGTTTAAGTATTTCTAGCGTTACTACGTCAATGTTTTAGATTTATTTTCTTCCAGTAGACTGATAATAGTCTCCCTGAGAGCTCAACTGACAATGACTTATATCTCGCCATCACTATTGTCTAATCTAAGCTACAAGTACCCCTTATCAGATGCTTGAAGATACATCATTGAATTATTCACTTGCTAGTATCTAGTAGCAGATGTTTACAGTAACATGCATCGATATATTATGTATCCATATCCATAAAATGAACTGCATCATTATTGAGGCGAGATGGTGGTCAAACGTCAGTCCCATCACTACATAGTATAAAACAAAGTCGCTATCTGCCGTCTGTCTGTCCCTATGTGTGCTTAGATCTTTAAAACTAAGCAACGGATTTTGATGCGGTTTCTTTTAATAGATAGAGTAATTCTTAAGGAAGGCTTATACGTATAATACATGCATAATACGGTAAAGAAACTAATAAGTTTTAGTGTTTCTAACGTGATGTCATAAATTATATAAGCACTGCACCCTTACGAAGCCGGGGCGGGTCGCTAAGTCTAATATAAAAATGAGAGAGAAACGCAATCCACGACCGAGCAAAGGTTTTCGGGAATCTGTTGAGTTTCATACGAGTCAACTGAGGAGTAACGGACAAGACAGTTCACGGAAACCAAACCAAAGTACACTATGAATTTTTTTTTAATTAAAAAAATATTGCCCCACACTAGAAATTTCTCCTGTGTCGTGGGTACGTTTACAAACATACAACTTCACATACACAATAACACCCAGACCAAAAGGGTGCAGGAACCGAACCCGCGTCACGTTGCGTGGCAGCCAGTTAACCAGCGACCACACCAACCGTGCCGTCAATACGTCAAAAGGTTTAAACTTCAGTGTCATATCTCCAATATAATGTTATCATTATAAATAAAAGTAGTATTCATTTTCTACGCGATAGTTAGACAAAACCTTGTACTTGTTTCTTCGTCAATGACCTGGGTAGTCGATGAAATCTAATTTCATAGTACTCTTTCAATTTCGGAGCAATTGATTCTATGTCTTATATCTATTGAGTGTAGTTTTAGAAAAGCATTTTAATAGTATCTCATAAAGTAATTTATGATTGTTAATAATGTAATCAGAAATTATACACAGCACCAAAGTTTTCGTTAATCATAATTATTTTTAACTAGCCTCTGCCCGCGACTTCGTACGCGCAATCCCGTTTTCTCCCGTTCCCATAAGATTTTCAGTATTTTTTCTATCATAAGAACCTTCTCCTGACAATAACAAACACAACAAAATAACAGCCAAATCGGTCCAGCCATTCTCAAGTTATGGCGTGACAACGGGAAACGGGTTTCATTTTTATATATATGTATATGAAAACTTGCACTTATATAGGTCAAGCCTTAACTCGTATCCATAATCGGCTCTTTCTAAGAGTTTCATGGTGGCGATAATATTGACGTAAAGGATTTACAAAACGTCTCAAATGAAAATTGAAAAACAATACTTACTTAACTCAATATAAAAGTAGTTCATTAACTAACAGGACTATAAAAATCAAACTCAAAAATGAATATCCAACATCTTTACGGCACGTTATCTAACTGAACGATAGGCACTGAGCAGGATGCGTTGATTATGCGTCCACACGAACCTAATTTTAACAAACTATTAATTGAACAAGCTTTGCTTCCCTAATGGCGATACGAGTAGTGAAATTATAACTTTCTAATGGCCTCTAACTAGTATTGTTTAGCTGTGAAATTGATAGTAAATGCTGTTATATTTTTCTTTAAAATAGGTAGTAGACAGGAGAGCATAATTATAAATGTAATATTAGGTCTTCACCGATGAAAAGGCCGTTTGCAGTGCTGGCCATTTCAAATCAAAATAATTTTTGTTTGGCTAAGAATTTTAATTACAAATTAATGTTATTTTAAAAACATAATTTATTGTCATTTGTTTATTGATTAGTGTTACATTTACATCAAAATTCAATACCCGAGAGGCAGTTTAATATTAGTAGTCCTAGTAAAATCTTTGAAGAATTTGTTGCCTCCCGTCCAGCTGATT